GTCAAACACTTATTCGAATACATTAGTGAGCCTCCATAAATAATCCTTATGATGGGTGACCCATGTGATTATGTTACGTGAATCCCTGTCAATAAGAATATTTTTTCAATTTGGATCCAAAAAATGGAGCCTCATAAGGAGGGCATGAGCTTTTGGTTTCAATGGGGTTCCAAGGTGAGAGGGGTCATGAGAATGTTTTTAGAGCTCTTCCAAGATGGTCCTTGAGATCAGCACCGACACCATTGGGACCCTATTTACCCTTAACACTGCAATCAAAGTTAAATTTTATAGGTGGTGTCCAAATTGCAGGTCTCGAGTCTCTATTGTATGTTATCTGGGCATGTTTGATATCTGGAAGTGTCTTCCTAGAACTTGGAACTTACCTAATACTGTTCATGTTCTGTGTTTGATAAAAAAAATGGAAGTTAAGTAGGGAACTTCACTTTACTATTCATCTTCCCCGCATTGTGTGTTAAAAAAGTTCTGACCAAGTTGAAATTGAAAGTGTTTGGGCCTGTTTGATAACTGAAAGCAAGTTCATGAACTGTAAATTGGAAGTTCGTCCTTGCTGGGAACATATAAGTTATTGTAAGAAGTTCTTGGTTTTGTGTGTTGATACCTTCCTGGGAAGTCAAAAAAGTTCCCAATTTCTGTGTTTGATAACCTCCTGAAAGTAAGTTCTAAGTACCTATGTTTAATATAAATAAAAAAAATTGAATTTCTTAATATAGAAATTTCACTCAATGCACAGACAGAGCAAACATGTGCTAGTAATTAACTATCAAAAGATATAAGTACATCTACTTGTGAAAATGGCTTCTTCAGCACAAATTTATAAGATATTAAAAGAAGAAATGAGATTACAAAATAAAAATAAAAAGATATGAATATAGCATTTAGAGCCCACACCATTTTCATTCTTAAATACGATGTTGGCTCCCTTACCCATGAACAAAGAAAGAATACCAACAAACTCATTCTTCATAACTTGAATGCAACATAAGCATTTAAAGAAGAAGAGCCCAATTGATTAAAAAATTCAACCATTACAAAAGAATGTACAACAAGTAAATCTACCAAATGTACATCCCAAATATTATTCTAAATTCTAGCACAACTAAAGGAAAGAAGCCAAATTCTCCTACAATTTTGCGCTCACGCTTGCAAGGTAATGTTCAGAGGCTCTCAGTTTCTCCTACAATTTAGCGCTCACACTTCCATGATTCCAAACTTCTTTCATGAAAAGGGCCCCATCATCCCATTAGCAGTGTTGCCTTGTATTTAATGGAAAGTCTCAAATGCAAGTCTATGATTGTTTCCCCAAAATATAGAGTGGAAATCCCAATTAGTTATTTGTTAGTGAAATATTTTACTGTAGTTATACTTTTGATAATGCAATATATTGTGAATGGAAAATAGAAGTAATGCCAAAGCTTTAGCATTATTCTATATTTATGCTAATTAATGTATTATCTTTGAGCTAATCAGTGTGCAACAATGAATCAAATCACATGATTTTGATTCATGTGGGAATCATGGTAGACATGCAATTCTTCAGTGATACAACTCTTTTGTGTGTTGCTTCCTCCAAACATTTGAGTCTATGAATCAAAGTACACTAGATTGTCCCTGTAGCATACTTGTTTATGGCATGGGCTTCTAACATATGAGAAAAAATCGCTTCTAAGGATACCCAATATCACATTTGGGATCTAGCTTAACAAAGAAAAGGATATTGTTGTTATCAAGGAAAATCTCTCTACATGTCTCTTTCATGCTTTTTGTTTAAAAGATATGTTTCTCTTTCATTTGACATTATATTCTATAATTAAGATCTTAATTGCCCCAATGAGATAGGAAAAAATACATAGACACAGTGCCACCAGTGGCTTACTACTACAAAGAACAGTTGCTCAAAGTACCTCAATCACTCATACACATGGATATTGCAGTCATGGAAGTATACCATTTATTCGCTTTGGGTCAACCTGCCAATTTCATAAAATCTAATCCCCTATAAACATAGTTTGCAAAAGAATGTAATACACATACAAAAAACCACAGATGCTCTCTGCGAAAAACCATATAGCTAGATTCCAACAACTTTAAAAAGCAGCACGAATTCAGAAAAGGTAAAAAACCATAAATTGATGGTATCGAAATTCACTTTCATTGCTTCAAATTTTTGTGTCAATGGACAAATAAAAAGTATATAGTCCGTCACAACTTTTAATTGTTGCTTGTAAAGAATAATTTCAGTTAAAATCTAACACATCCTACGACTACATGAACCTCTAGATTCTTCCAATGAAATGAATAAGCCCTAAACTTCAAAAATTAAAGAAAGGTAAAAGATTTGCACAATACAAAATCATTACATAAGAACTAACAATCAAAATTACTGCTCCTCAATTCCCAAGTGATCCCAAAACCCTATAACTTGTATACATAGGCATGCGCAACCTAGACCCCATGTTTGTGAAAGAAACACATGATCAAACAAACAAATGAAAGATTTTAAACATACTGGAGCTCTTGATTCTCAAGTTCACTGGACCTATAGTTTCCCTTATCTTTTCTTTTGATTAATCAGCCCTAAAGTTCTTCTTTGTGCCACTAATTTGCAGAGTAAACAAAGAGGGAGAATCTGGATCTTCTCATCAGTATCCCAATAGGAAAATACACAAAAATCTTACTTGCACATCCCATTGATTTCATTGATATTGCTGAAAACGATCAATTGCATTCAAATTTCAAAAGTGAAAGTTTTAAGGTATAAATTTCATAACGAAAAGGACATGAAAGTGAACTGTAACCTTTGGATCAAATGTTATGGAGAAAAAAACTGAGCTTGGAGGTTAAAAAAAATGGTGGACTTCGACTGAGATTTTGTTCCATAAATTGTAGAAATGAGGGGAGTCGCTGTCTCTCTCTCACTAAAATGGACTTTCTCTCTCTATAATATGCTTTCGTATATAAGCGAAGAGGCTCGAGTTTATCGGGACAAATTAAACTTCTATTTTTAAGTTCCATCCAAAAAGATGGAAGTTTTTCTAAATGTAAAAAGGAGAACTTCTACATTAATATGAAGTTCTCATATTTAACTTCCATTTTTTAACAAACATAAAAGGAAAAATATCCCCTTATCCTCTATTTTTAACTTCTATATCTCATGATATCCAAGAATTGAAAATATTACTTGTAAGTAAAGATGTCCATCTTTTCTAGCTTACAATCCCCTAGATCCTTTTGACCACAAATCTTTAACCCAAGGAAATGAAAAAATGACAACCTATTCTTCTTCTCCATTAACGTGAGTATTTTGAACCACTTGCTCTTTCATCATCGTCTCTCTCTATCAAAATTCCATTTCTTTCTCTACTAAACAGAGTTGCAGAAGTTCCCTCTCTAAAAAACCCACAGATTTGAAGCCCCTACTGTCCTGTTGCATCCCTAATCCACCGATCTAACACCCCCACAGAGCTCTATATTTTTCTCTATCTCATCTCTCTCTCTTCCCTCCTTCCTGCAACGAAAAACCCCACAAAGTCCATGGCCATTGTGGATGCAACTTGCCAAAAGAAGTAAGTCTTCTCACCCATGAACTCATTTGTTCAAGAAACTTCTCTTTTACCCAACAAGTTACCGAAACTTTAACATACATAAAGCTCTTCAACTCCCTATTCATAGTTCTCAAAAAAGAAAACAAAAATTTATAGGATTTAAGATCGCTAGATTCATTACCAAAAAAACCAATTTATTTGATTTTACAACTTCAATTCTAGTAATCCATCTCCTTTATCAAATTAATCAATTAGTGAGGGCAAAGAAAGTCTTAAGCCAATTGAAAAAAAACCAAACATTGGGTATCAGAGAGAGAGAGATGATGTAGAGAGGGTATCGGGGCAAAAGGGTATGCAAAGAAAGTCACCACATTGAAGTTCATCCTTAGACCTGAGAATTGGAGGGAGATTAGCACGCACATGCATTACTTGTTGAGTCCCAATGCATGCTATTGACGTGTCTATAGGACTAACTTCATCAGTATGCATAGTAATATCGTGTTGAATAGCTTTGTCGTCCTCAGAATATGATGCATCTCCATAAGCATTGGCCAAAAGGGCAAGTGAAGAGATGTTATGATTGACTATTGAAGAATTCGATTTTTCTAGGGTCCTCAGATATGCATCCTGACCATCTTTCTAATGCTTGATGAGAGGTAGAGTATATTTGAGAGTTATCCTGATCATCTCTCTCATGTGTTTTTGTATATCCTGCAACAAAATAAAAGGCATAAAGAACTCCAAAGATAATGCCATTTTCTACTAACAGAAAGTAATAGGAATTCCATAACTTTGGGTATCAGAGAGAGAGAAATGGAGGTTTGAGAGAGAGAGAGACGGTGATTTCAGATTTTGGGTATTAGAGAGAGAGATGGAGGTTTGAGAGAGAGAGACAGTGATTCCAGACTTTGGGTATCAAAGAGAGATGGATGTTTGAGAGAGAGATGGTGCTTTTAGAGAGAGATGTGCTTTGGGTTTTTTTAGAGAGTGTGGTTTTTTTTTAGAGAGAAAGAGGGGTAAGTGATGATTTAGAGAGGGTTAACTTTGGGTACTAGAGAGAGATAGAACTTTGGGTACTAGAGAGAGATAGAGTGTAGAGACGGTGTTTTGAGAAATAGATGTCATTTTAGTATTTGTGTAGGTCAAAAATTAAATATAAAAAAAGTACAAAGACTTCTAAGATAGAAAAAATTAAGATTTTATGTTGCAAGTAACATTTTTAAACTTTGATTTGATAAAAGATAGAAAAAATTAAGACTTTATGCTGTAAGTAATAATTTTAAACTTTAATTTGATGAGAAATAAAAAAAATTAAAACTTTATGCTGCAAGTAACATTTTTAAACTTTGATTTGATGAGTAATAAAGGTAAAAAATAAAAGGTGAAGAGATGTTTTCCAACACAAAACGTGTAGAGGACCAGGTTACTTACCAAGTTCTGGGAAGTAACGCTCATAAAAATTCACCCCCGATAAGTTGTTGTTCTTCTGTTCTGCGCTATCCGCCGCTGAGCCACCCGTCTCTTCTGTTCTTCGCTACCAGCCGCTGAGCACCTCTCTCTTCGCATCACGCCGCTATCAGCCAGACCCCTCTCTTCGCACTCAGCCCTCGCAAGGGTTTACTCATCTCTTTTTGTGCTCTGATCCTTTCTATTGAGCTCTGATACTTGAGTACCGTACTTCTCTTCTCTATCACACTCGAGGGTCCAAGAAGACGGAGGAGGAAGCAAAGAGCTCTGATTTTCTCTGTGTTATTCATCTTGAGGTATCCTATTGAGCTCTGATTTTCTTCATCTTTATCTCTCTTTTCTTTGGATCTTTTCTTGAGCTCTGATCCTTCCTATTGAGCTCTGATATATGTTCTTCATCTTTCTTGAGGTATTTGCGTGCCCCCGACTGCCCTAACCACAGTGAAGAGACCATCTTGCACCTTATCTTTGTGCTTACGAGCGTACATCTCAGTTTTTTCTCTCTCCCCTGATTTTTTTTTCTATCTCAGGTTTTTTCTGTATCCCATGATTTTTTTTGCTCTCTGATTTTTTTCTCTAGGTTCCGAACATGATGAAAATGGATACCACGATTTTTTTCCTATACGATCAGTTTATTCTCTCGCTGTTTTTTTTTTCTGATTTTACAGATTTTCGCAAATGTTCCTATTTTTTTTATGTTTATTTGGCTCATTGGGTTACTCAACATAGACTTTGATGAGTTGATTAAGATTTTTCTGAGTTGCAAGGGGGTAAGTTCCTTCTCCTGAGTCCCATTTTCAAACATTGGTTAAAACAAAGTGATTCGGTCTTGTGAAATTTGTTAATTCATTGCATCTTACTCGAGTTAGGCGTTTCTTGTTTTTTTTCTTAGCATATGTTGAGTTAATTTGCAGCATGTGTATTATAATTTGAGATGAAGTCCAAAACTTTTGTAGAATGTGATCTGCACCAAAGAAATGATATGGACAAGTAACGATAGGGGAAACAAATCGGGCAAAGAGCATTTTTTAAAGGAATTAATGGCAATTGATTTATGTATGTGCTATAGGAATTGTGTGTGATTTATTTATGTATTTGGGGTTTGTTTTATGTGTGTGCTGTAGGAATTGAGACTTGTTTCTCTTTGTATGCCATACATTTACACCTCCATTAATGGGCTTATTGTGGGTTTGGCCTCTTGAGTTGGACTACTTGTTTTTAATATTGTGTTCAGCAAGGGGTTTGGAATTCCCTTTTTTTTTTGACATGAGTAGGGATTTCGTATTCTTGGTGCATGCTTTTGTGTTTTCTCTTTTTGTTTGGTACATGTGGGGAGTTAGGAGAGGGAAAATTGGTTTTCTTAGGACTTGGCTGAAATGTTGGTGGTTTCCAACAGTTGGATTTATGCATAGGTGATTCTTTTGTTCGGTCATGTGTTAAAGGGGAAGGGGATTGTACTGGGTGATTAGAGGTTCCTGTTGTTCACTTTCATCTTCTTCTTTTTTTCTTATTCATTATTGTAAAGTGGCCAAATAAGGATTCTACTTACCGTGACTTTAGTTTGCCTGATTTGAATAAATAGATTGACTATAGGATTGGTTTAAGGAAGATGACAGCATGATATATTTTGAATTAGTTTCTACTTGTATAAGAGGTTTGTGTTTCTTGGTTCTTGGTTATTTGATCTGTTTTGGTTATTTCAATTCCCTCTTATTTAATTTTTTTTGTTACTGATCTATGGTTATTTGATTTGATCCTTTATGGATGGACTTTATCATATTGGTTCTTTGCTTTTCAACTTCTGGGATTTACTTTTTTTAGTCATTCCAACAATGACTTCAGCAAAGTGTTAACAAAACAAAGAGATAAAAATATTGAAAAAGCAGCAATTGAATGCAACTTCTCATGAAAAATGTGGCGGTGGAGTTCAAGATTATAAAATCAATTTTTTTCTTATTTTCTTTATTATTGAATCTGAATTCCACTTACAAGTGTTACAATACGCTGTTGTAAATAAAAATTAAAACCCTAAATACAACCTGAAACCTTTCCTTATATAAACACGATTCAGGAATAAAAAAATGCTTCTCCTAACAATTTAGGTACAAATAATGTTGTTGAAATTCAGAATAAACATGTGAATATGACTAAAAAATAAAACTAAATAGCTGGGAATACTTATTAGATTATGCCTAGGGTCAACCCCTTATGACTTAGTACACCTTGTACCCTATTTCCTGACTGATGGAGCACGTCGATCCTATTGGTCTTGCTGAATTTTCAGAGCTAAGAAGCTTCCTTGGGCAATACCTCTTAAACTTGGGTTTCATAGAGCATAAAGACATTTGTGGTTTTGTTAGAACCCCTTCGGAAAAAATTGGGGCATGCCTCAAAGGCATCTCCATTTTTTAGGGCTAGGCTTGTCCGTCTCTCTTTAAAGACTAATTAGGGTTAGGCGTGCCACCGAGAGAGAGAGAGAGAGAGAGAGAGAGAGAGAGAGAGAG